TAATGTACTACAAAATATTCTGGAGTTATAGAGTTAGGGCTAATGTATACAAAATATTCTGGAGTTATAGAGTTAGGGCTAATGCATTACAAAATATCCTGGAGTTATAGAATTAGGGCTAATGTACTACAAAATATTCTAGAGTTATAGAGTTAGGGCTAATGTACTACAAAATATTCTGGAGTTATAGAGTTAGGGCTAACATGCTACAAAATATTCTGGAGTTATAGAGTTAGGGCTAATGCATTACAAAATATTCTGGAGTTATAGAGTTAGGGCTAATGTACTACAAAATATTCTGGAGTTATAGAGTTAGGGCTAATGTACTACAAAATATTCTGGAGTTATAGAGTTAGGGCTAATGTACTACAAAATATTCTGGAGTTATAGAGTTAGGGCTAATGCTACAAAATATTCTGGAGTTATAGAGTTAGGGCTAATGCATTACAAAATATTCTGGAGTTATAGAGTTAGGGCTAATGTACTACAAAATATTCTAGAGTTATAGAGTTAGGGCTAATGTACTACAAAATATTCTGGAGTTATAGAGTTAGGGCTAATGTACTACAAAATATTCTGGAGTTATAGAGTTAGGGCTAATGCATTACAAAATATTCTAGAGTTATAGAGTTAGGGCTAATGTACTACAAAATATTCTGGAGTTATAGAGTTAGGGCTAATGTACTACAAAATATTCTGGAGTTATAGAGTTAGGGCTAATGTACTACAAAATATTCTGGAGTTATAGAGTTAGGGCTTACATGCTACAAAATATTCTGGAGTTATAGAGATAGGGCTAATGTATTACAAAATATTCTAGAGTTATAGAGTTAGGGCTAACATGCTACAAAATATTCTGGAGTTATAGAGTTAGGGCTAATGCATTACAAAATATCCTGGAGTTATAGAATTAGGGCTAATGTACTACAAAATATTCTAGAGTTATAGAGTTAGGGCTAACATGCTACAAAATAATCTGGAGTTATAGAGTTAGGGCTAATGCATTACAAAATATCCTGGAGTTATAGAATTAGGGCTAATGTACTACAAAATATTCTAGAGTTATAGAGTTAGGGCTAATGTACTACAAAATATTCTAGAGTTATAGAGTTAGGGCTAATGTACTACAAAATATTCTAGAGTTATAGAGTTAGGGCTAATGTATTACAAAATATTCTGGAGTTATAGAGTTAGGGCTAATGTGTTACAAAATATTCTAGAGTTATAGAGTTAGGGCTAATGTACTACAAAATATTCTGGAGTTATAGAGTTAGGGCTAATGTATTACAAAATATTCTGGAGTTATAGAATTAGGGCTAATGTACTACAAAATATTCTAGAGTTATAGAGTTAGGGCTTACATGCTACAAAATATTCTGGAGTTATAGAGTTAGGGCTAACATGCTACAAAATATTCTGGAGTTATAGAGTTAGGGCTAATGCATTACAAAATATCCTAGAGTTATAGAATTAGGGCTAATGTACTACAAAATATTCTAGAGTTATAGAGTTAGGGCTAATGTACTACAAACTATTCTAGAGTTATAGAGTTAGGGCTAATGTACTACAAAATATTCTGGAGTTATAGAGTTAGGGCTAATGTATTACAAAATATTCTAGAGTTATAGAGTTAGGGCTAATGTACTACAAAATATTCTGGAGTTATAGAGTTAGGGCTAATGTATTACAAAATATTCTAGAGTTATAGAGTTAGGGCTAATGTACTACAAAATATTCTGGAGTTATAGAGTTTGGGCTAATGTATTACAAAATATTCTAGAGTTATAGAGTTAGGGCTAATGTATTACAAAATATTCTAGAGTTATAGAGTTAGGGCTAATGTACTACAAAATATTCTGGAGTTATAGAGTTAGGGCTAATGTATTACAAAATATTCTAGAGTTATAGAGTTAGGGCTAATGCATAACAAAATATTCTGGAGTTATAGAGTTAGGGCTAATGTACTACAAAATATTCTAGAGTTATAGAGTTAGGGCTAATGTATTACAAAATATTCTGGAGTTATAGAGTTAGGGCTAATGCATAACAAAATATTCTGGAGTTATAGAGTTAGGGCTAATGTACTACAAAATATTCTAGAGTTATAGAGTTAGGGCTAATGTACTACAAAATATTCTGGAGTTATAGAGTTAGGGCTAATGTACTACAAAATATTCTAGAGTTATAGAGTTAGGGCTAATGTACTACAAAATATTCTGGAGTTATAGAGTTAGGGCTAATGTACTACAAAATATTCTGGAGTTATAGAGTTAGGGCTAATGTATTACAAAATATTCTAGAGTTATAGAGTTAGGGCTAATGCATAACAAAATATTCTGGAGTTATAGAGTTAGGGCTAATGTATTACAAAATATTCTAGAGTTATAGAGTTAGGGCTAATGTATTACAAAATATTCTAGAGTTATAGAGTTAGGGCTAATGTACTACAAAATATTCTGGAGTTATAGAGTTAGGGCTAATGTACTACAAAATATTCTAGAGTTATAGAGTTAGGGCTAATGTATTACAAAATATTCTGGAGTTATAGAGTTAGGGCTAATGTACTACAAAATATTCTAGAGTTATAGAGTTAGGGCTAATGTATTACAAAATATTCTAGAGTTATAGAGTTAGGGCTAATGCATTACAAAATATTCTGGAGTTATAGAGTTAGGGCTAATGTACTACAAAATATTCTGGAGTTATAGAGTTAGGGCTAATGTGTTACAAAATATTCTAGAGTTATAGAGTTAGGGCTAATGTACTACAAAATATTCTAGAGTTGTAGAGTTAGGGCTAATGTACTACAAAATATTCTGGAGTTATAGAGTTAGGGCTAATGTACTACAAAATATTCTGGCGTTATAAAGTTCGGGGCTAAGGGGCATGTGGGTTGGCCAGTCACTAACCCATACTGACCCATAGTCTAAATTCAATATGAAGTGTCCGGTATTTGAGCGCATGTCTGAGGCTTGCTGTCACCCATGTTTCATCAAGTAGTCTGCATGTACTTTTGCTTTTCACAACTAATTGTTCTGCATTTTATTGATGTGCACAGTGCTCACACCAGTGGCATAGGCAGAAATAAATTCTTGAGTAGGCCTGTGAAGAGGTGGGTAGGCCGACTTGGTAGATACAATTTCCAAACATGTCATAACATCAGGCTATAACCCATTGCTAATAGTAGTGCAGTTGTCACCCTACCTGTTTCAACACTTGAGTGACACAAAACGATAGCAATCAAACAGAAAGCTAGGTTCACATAAACACAACCAAGACTTCACTAACTAACAGGGGTGCTTAAAGCCTGCTTTAATATAAAGCATGCGTCTGCACACCACAGGCACAACTTCTGCCCGATGAAGACAACATAAACATGTTGCAATCAGACAGCTGAGATGTACAGAGATGAGGAAAAACAACACAGCAAACATAAACACTTAGGCATACTACCATGACAGGCATGAAAAAACATGTATGTCTTACCTTTGATGACTCAATGCATTTTAGGAAATGTTTGCTTTGGCGTTTAGGCAGGGCATCTTAGCTTTTGTAGCTAGTAAAAGAACACTGTAAATACTGTAAAAAGTCGCAGACCTTTGACGACAACAACTTATGATTATTTGTTTTCGGCTTTGGATGGGTAAAGAATGACATACTCTATCAAGGACAGGATCTCACTTTTACATATCCTCTAGGTCTTTTGACAGCTGGAGCTATAAATTCAAACACTGGTGTGTAGATAATGGCTTGAAACAATGACAAATAGCAACGGTTGCTAAGCAGTGATTGGAAGGCTGAGAAACTGTGAAGAGTGTAATGATTGGATTGGCCATAACACAGTGACAACACTCGCAGAAAACAAATAAAATTTTGCTATCTTAAAAAATGCAGCTTAATAAATATCCTTTCCCTGTTTGATTAAGTGGGCCTGTGATCAATCATCGCAGTGTCACAGTGGTCCTTGCAGCTGTGAAGATGATCAGGCTGCAATAAACTCACATGTACTGAAGCAGTGCTGTAACTGACTCAAAGTGGGAGCAGTTGGTACTTTCACTGTTTAGTTCTGACCTTTGTTGTTGTCTTTCAGAAGGAATAAGATGTGATCCATGTTTAAATGGCTCACCAAAAAAAAAAAGTTTTCTGTGAGAGTCTCACAATAGCAGTGAATATATATTTAGTGACTAACTGAAGATCAAAGTTTTAATTAAGAGTACTCTAAAATGACCAATCCTGTATCAGCACTCTACTGTGCACTCGTAGTTAATGTGTGTACCTCGTACACAAATTAATTATGCACATATCTTGTGGGAGGTAGAAAAGATTTATGAACTGGTACTCAAATTAGATGCAAAATACATACAAAATAAATTTGTATTTTAAAAAAGGCCAAAAGGACATTTTCAAGGGGTGCTAATGGGGTGCTAAATGATTTTAAGTGGGTGCTTAAGCAGTCTGAAGTTATAGAGTGATGGTACTCAAAATATTCTGAAGTTATAGAGTGGTGATACTACAAAATATTCTGAAGTTCCAGAGTGGTGGTGCTACAAGATATCCTGTAGTGATAGGGGTAATGTACCACTAAATGTATAGTTATATATAGTTTTATATAGATGTTTATTAGTGTACCCCAGAGTAATCTGCAGCCTAGGTGCAGAGTGAAGTTTAATCTACCAGCTGTGCTCAATATATTGCAAATATTGTGGAGTTACACATTTTGTTTACTCAAAATATTCATCATTCTGGTGTTAATTCTTATAGTTAAATAGGTGATGCATGTAAAAGAGTAGGGTTATTTCACGCTATACCATGTTATATATAGCATATATGTAAATATTACTCAGTGTAACATAAATATGCTGCTAACTAAATACTCTCTCTCTCTCCCTCTCTCTCTCTTTACCCCTCCCATTAGTTTCAAATCCGATCCGACGCTATGCGTGTGAGTGTGTGTGCACCGTGTGTGTGTGTGTAAGAGAGTGAGAGAGATAGAGAGAGAGAGAGAGAGAGAGGGAGAGAGAGAGAGAGAGAGAGAGAGAGAGCGCCTCTCAGCTTTTCCTCCCGTCCAGCCGTGCAGGAGCTCAGCGCGCGAGCGGCGGATAAACAAGCGCGGTCAGCACGAGCGAGACACGGCGCCGTACAGAGGTAAAGGTAACCTGACCTCCCTCCGCCTTCAGCTTCAGCCTCAGCCTCTCAGCGGCGCTCCGCTGTTTTGGCCGGACACAGCGCGCGCGCTCGCTGCTGTGAATCCGCGGGCGAAAGCAAAAGCACGGGCGCGAGGGCTTGATGGGCTGAACGTGAGCTGCATGTGTGAGGGCTTTCTTAGCCGTCATATCTGCACGCTCACTAGCCCGTGCCGCGCGCGATAACTCGCAGTATGTGTTGTAGGATAGCGCTGGGTATGAAACGAACAGTGTGTGTGTGTGTGTTTTGTGTGTGTATGCTGCTTGACCGGCTGCTGAGTCAGAGATGCTTTAGCAAAATAATCCGGACTCCCAAACCAAAAAAAGGCTCGCGGGCTTCACCGGGCGAGGTGCATTTCTGGACATGAACGCTTTGCAAAAAAAGCACGCGCGTTTAATACAAGCACCGTGCAGGTCATTAACAGGTAGTTACTGAACATTTCTAACCGCGTGCATTAGGATTCTTTCACAGCCTCGTGCGTCCAGTATTTGTCAGTGTGCAGTCGCCATGCTGTGAGAGATGTTATTATAATAGCGACTACAAAGCAGAGCGGCAGTGAGCGCGTGCTTGTGGCTCGAGCCTGTCTGTGTCCGCGCGCAGCCCCGCTCTGTGTGCAGACTGGAGCTGCCGGCGCTGAAGGACAGACAGCAGAGCAACGCGAGCGCTCGGATCACACCGCCGCTGTAAAGCCTGTTGCTGTATTAGCTTCACAACAGGGCCGCCGTCTCTGTAACTGCACGCGCCCCACGGTGGATACTAAAGCGAGCCCATAGCTACAAAATAGAGGAACAAACTGAGTCAGCAGCACGAGACCAACTCAGCGAGCAGTAAAGCGAAAGCTGGTCCGCGTGTGTGTCTCTGCTGGGCTTGTAAGCGGGTGTGTTTATTTTCTGCAGAAGGCTCGTGCCCGTGAGGAGGAGACGGCGCTGAAGCCCTCCATGGCCTCCAAGCTGAACCCCAACGTGCTGTACGTGCGCGAACCCCAAGGCGGCGGCGGCGGCGGTGGGGACGCGGGAGATGAGTCCTCAGACAGCGACGGCGAGCAGGAGGAGACCTGCCACAAACTCATCAGGAAGGTGTCCACTTCCGGTCAGATCCGCGCCAAGGTGAGGAGGAGAGAGGTTGGGAGGGGGGGCACAGGGGAGGTCTTAAACTCTAAACTGATGGTTCTCAGCTCTGGTCTTAGAGTAGCCCTGCCATGCCTGTGTTTTACAGCGAACAACATAGACCAGCCTATGTTGTGTTTTGGACGCTGTTGTGCTGGTCAGCAGCATGACCACGCTGGGAGACCAGCTAAACCATTCAAATCTCTGTCTACTGCACCTGTATTGTGCTACAGTACGAAGTAAAAGAACATATTCAAAACCCACTTGTAACAGAAGACAGTAGTTGCAGGTGGTTGACTGTATGCTGCACATCCAGCAGATAGAAATCAGGTTTAAACACACTAGAATGTTCCTTGAAGACCAACAAAACCTAAAAGTGTTCACTTGGACATGTTTCTGTTTTTAACTGTAACTTGTAGGGGTGTCACGATTCACAAAATGATTCAGTTCGATATGGTTCAGTGGTGCCTCTATTCTCTACGTTGTTTAATACTAGGGATGGACTGATATGGGAATTGTGGGCAAATTTTATGTGCAAACCTCTAAATACTGATACATAAACATTTATATAATGTTAAAACTGGGACTAGATCCACCTGGATTCGTATTATAGAGAAACATTACATTTGCTTATGTGTAATTCTAATACAGTTTACAAATGCAGTAAAGTAAACAAGAAATATATATTTTAGCATAGCGACTCAGTAAAAAGTCTTGCTTTTCTGGAGTACAATAATATGTCGTAATTTAATATCGGTTTGAAGTATTGGTTAAACCTAAACATCTGTGCGATGCTGATATTTAAAGCAAATATCTGCAGTTTCTGAAATGATTTGTCACTTTTTAATAAAGCAAATTAAGGTGTGCCTGAAAATAGGCCTTATGTTCATATATTGTGATTTAGTTTATTAGTATTCAGCATTACTTAAGTATAATTTTTGAGGCTTTATAATGGCATAGTGGAGTTCTGCTTGATCCAGTTAGACTGCTTTCTTATAAACAGGGCAGCATAGAAGCTATACTCTACAGTGCCCCAATATAATGTGTGTGCCATGAGCTAATATGGTAGCCCCGAGCTAACATACTAGCCACAAGCTAATGTGCTAATCACAATACAACCATACAATACAATACGCTACAATTAAGCCTGTTAATAAAAGCACTTATAGCATGTTAACGTGAGGAATTGTTAACGTCACACATTTTCTTTAAAGCTGTTAACACATTTTCCTAGTTTGATCTTTCTAACTAGCCATAGTAGTGCAAGCTGAAGCTCAGCTGCTCACTCACTGTATGTTGCCATGGCAGAATCTGCAATTGTTGCCCACAAAGTTGAAATACACCCTTTAAATGGCTTTTAATGCAGTGCCTTTAGCTTTTTGCACAGACTATGCTGGACAGTGCTTTCAGTAAAGTAACAAAAGCAACAGCAACCGTTGCTACAGTTACATTCGAGGAGATTTATTCTTAATTATATACATAAAATAATAATCATTTCACAGCCCTAATAACGATAAGTTGTATTTGTACACCCTATAAACTAGGTAATGTATTTTACTGTCATCAAGTGGTTCATGATTCTGCACAAACTCTGCACAAGGAGGCTAACACTCAATGCTTTGATAAGATTTACTGGATGGTATATATTTAATACTCTGATTAGCTGCTTAGCATTGACAGCATTAAAAAAGATGTGGAAAGAATGTCATCTAATGGTTTATCTGACATGTAGACAATACAAATGACTGTAGTGTAGATACTGTGCTGTAGTGTAGGGGCTGTGTTTTCACAGCATATCGTCAGAAAGCTCAATTTCTCTTGTTTAACATGATCACAAAGGGTTAAGCTCTTCTGCTAATTAAGCCTTTCCTGAGTTGGACTGGGTATGTTAGAACTCATACAAAATACATGCGAGGCAGTGATACTCCAGAACCAGGACTGAATTGAAAACCATTGCTCTAAACTTTAGCTTTTTCACGTCGGCTTATGTGCCATTGTTGCAACACTCCTATCATAAAGTCCTGTGTTTCGAGAGCAGGCCTGCACTTGCAAAACTGACTTGTGTAAGACTCCTTGCAACACTGAGTTTGAGGAAAAGAGGCACTGCAACTGAACACAGTGCAGTCTTCTCTGAACACAACACAGTCCACAGATACATTACAGAGGAAGCATCCACATCGTAGTGATGGCTGCAATGTGATACGTATTGATCTAAGCAAAGCTGGCTTACATGCCCGTCAATATCTGGCATGGCGATAGCAGCAGTTTGTGTGCACTGTGCTGTTATCACTGCGGGGTCGATGTTTGCTTGGGAAAGGGCAGTGCGTATAAATGGGTCATTAGATGAGCTGTTAAGCTACACATGACATCAAATATGAAGTGAGGTTAGTGCAGATTGTAAACATTAGTGTCATGTTCATCAAGGAGGTGGTCCACATGCAGCTCTGATAGAGTTCTTTCGGTCATTTCCTCTTCGGGATGTGTTTTACAGTGAAGGTGACCAGGTGTTTCTGACAAGCTGAGGGCCAAAACCACCTGGTGATAACCTTTAAAGCTTGTAGGGATATGAAAATTCTGTCCTGTTACCGATAAGCAGCATTTTCATCTTTGTGTTTCCAGCACAGATACTAATATGATGTTTAAGATTTATTGTGTTTGAGTATAAATTATCAAATTAAATAAGTTTAATGTGTGAAAATCCCCATTATTTGTGCAGCTACATGGCTTTGTCTCAGTGAAAATGCCTGACAATTAATATTAATTAATATTAATTAATAGTGGTACTAAACTAGCAAAGCTAGTCTCTATTAAATATGCCTTCCAAACATTGCATCCCTGTCAATATGCTGAATAAATTATCTGTCAATATCAGGGGTGCTCATATTGACAGTTTTTTTTTTATTATTATTATGCATTTCAGATAGCTTGTGCTACATACTGTAAGATCCATCATGTGTTACAAACTTCCGTTTATATTAAATCTGATAGTATGTCTAAGTATGTATGACTTTACAGTCTATTACAGCACTGTGTTAATTCTATGTATTTCTACCTATGACCCTTTCCTAATATTTGCTATTAAAAATATTGGTACTAGGCATGTCACAGTATTTTAGATGACAATTAATTGCTATGTATTAACTATATTTAATTAACTATAATTAACTATAATCAATGCATTTGTCTCTTGTTGAATTGGCTGATCAGCTATTTTGCTTCCTAGCTGCCAATACTTAATAGCTCTGGTGACAGACACAGCTCGAGCTCAAATAAGCAAACATTACTCACTGATGCTCTCTATAGGTGTTATATTTATACATTTCTAACCAATGTTGAAAATGTGAGATGCTCCACACATAATAACAGATTCCATTGATTTTTTGTCTTATGTCATCCTGCAGTCATCAAAGCTCCCACACTACTGGATGTTGCGCTGTAAATATTGAACATGTTTAATATTTACATTTTAAAATAGGGGTGGTCACGACTGGGCTGTGAGTAGATTGGAGGGGTAAAGATTGGATCATACACCCCACGCTGCAGGATAATCTTGGAAGAGTATCAATTAAGAGCTGCCTGAAATCAGGACGCCTTTTGCAGCTGTCAGGAGGAGCGAATCCGCCTCAAAATCGTCCTGATTATCCTGTAGTGCAAGGCCAGGCCTATTTGATGCGACAGACCTAGTTGATGCTAAATATTGGTCACATTGATATATTAAGTCCACCACAGCATGGTAATTTTAAGCACTTGACTATAAGCAGTTGTATTTAAGCGTCTAGATGGTGTTACTATTATTGTTCCAGATAGCTCGGCTGTATACAGTTATGTGTTACACACTTCTGTTTACTTTGAATGTGATAGTATAGCTGGCCTCATGGTGTCAGTTCTACTGCTACATATTTCCTGTTGTGACTCAGATATTTCCTATTGAAATGTTGTAAAAGGTGAGAGTTAGCCTGGTTGCATGATCTAGGACTGGATCACCCACTCCAGATCCTACACATACTGATATACACAGCAAAACTGGCCTCAGATCAGCATAAAGAACGAACCTCTTTCAACACATATACTGCAGTTCAGCACTTACTTAACTACATCTGTTCCATGTTTAGCCAACACAAAGCTGGAAAAGAAGGGTAAACACACGGAACAGACCTCTGTATTGAGGACAGCGTGTCTATCTTTAGTTTTCCTTTTATCTGTTCTGGCATTCCTCTCCTATATGTCATCTGACCTTTCACCTTTGACCCTTGAGAGAGCCTGAGGATGGAGGGCTGCTGCGAAACTGCATGAATTCCATTGCTGAGTTCTGTAATGTATGATGCGTTCAATACGCCGAATGTTAAGGAAGGAATTTGTAGGATATTCAACATTAATATGTACACTGAAAAAAAGCAATGGATTTAATTAATTCAGTGTGTGCCTCATTCATACATATATCCTGCCTTTCAGTTTACTTATTTTTTACCAAGAATAGTGTTGATTGTAAAATCATTTTATTTGTAAATGATTTACACATTTGAAGCGAGTAAATTCAAGGCATCATTCTTCATCAGTGTAATAGCGGAGTGGAGGATTGCATGGAATTTTGATGCGAAATGGTGCATAGTAGTTGTTTACTCTTGACTTTTTTAATAATGAAGAAATTAAAAAAATGGAATTCTCTTTAATACAGTCAGTCAAGCTGGGAACAGCTTGCATGTTACTGTCCACGTGTTCCTTCTGGTTACAGCAGTGTATGGTGAACCATGCAACATGCTTAGAACCGGTAAAGTGTGGCTATGGAATGACTGACATTTCTGGAGTGGCTGGCCTTTCATTTGCATAAGAGAGCACTGTGTCGTATTAGTACAGAGTAAAGGTTTATAGCCATGTAGAAATATACATCATATTCTGTTGTACTTTTGTTGACATACTCATATCCAAATGTCTGGCAGGTCAGGCAGGTCAGTTTTGTTTTGATCTCGGGCCTTAGCGATAGAAGTGCTAGTAGAGGAATG